ACTGATGAATGTAAACCATTTATATCGCCCTACGTTCGATAAAATTCCTTATATAATGTATGAAGAAACTAGAAAGGCTGGACTTACATAATAAGGCATGCCCCTCCCCGTTTCCATGTCATGGACATATTCATTCGGCTTCAAAGCACACAAATTCTTTTTTCTACATCAGGATACGACAGATAATATGCCTCACAATAATGTCATTTTTGATGCACCGTAAACACCACCTACGTATTAACAAGACGGAATATGTATGAAATACAAGACCGTAAACATTCGTAAAGCATTGATACATGATACCCAATGTTCATCTTGATCCATGCTATGATTAACAGCTCCCTATACTCTGGATACTGAGTACATGTACTTGATCTTCACATGGTTGACAAAAAGTCTCCTTCAGATATGAGGCTTTTTTTTTATTACGTGAAATAAATTGCAACTGGACGCAACAACGCGCTGTTCCTTCGCGTATTCACTGAGCTCTGTGTTATAAGCTACATAAATGTAAAGTGTATTGCACATTAAAGATAAACTTGAGTTCTGGTAAAAAAAGAAAATTAATTTTCACAGAATCTAATGAAACTTACACTGAATGTTCAAGATTACAAATAAATGTCATGTGCCAAACAATTTTGGAAGAAAATGTATACTGGCTGAGTAATGAGCATAGAAAGATAAGGAAATCAGGGTTGTACTAGCCCCGACACCATGTATGTTGTCCCATATACATCTTTCTGTGTAAGTAATTGTTACTTCTTTACCAAGACTCTGCCAAATTTATGATGATTTTGATGACTCCAGAACCTTGCATTACACACTATTACTTACATGCTTTATGATCAACTTTTCTGATCCATTCCACACCTTTTCTTTCACAATGCAATTGCATTACCAGAACTCAAGTTTATCTTTAATACGTCATCCAAAAAGAAAAAAAAAAAAAGTCCACCGAAGATTACCGCGTCATATCTGATCGAGACATGACGTTGAGATGACTTTTAGTAGACTTGGCCGACGTACCGTTTAAATATAAATATATATATATATATATATATATCTTTAAAAATGTACAGGATATCTATATAAGAGAAGGATTGTCGCCACAGGCAGATTTCTTTCTGGAGATCATAAGTTATGTTGGTTGCTGTATGTCAATATGGGGCCTTGTCATCACAATCCTCACATATGCTTCAAATAAGTGAGTATAATTTCTATGGGCAAGTATAAAGTATCTGATCTTGTGATGTCCAACACGTTACCAATAGGTATGAAAGCTTTAATGGGCATCAATTGAAATCGAAGTAGCAATTTACTTCATGTTCGTTCTGAGAAAAACTAAAGTTGAGCAGACAATTTAATACCGTCACCAGTTATACAAAAATCACAGATGTGCTCTGTAAACGTAGGTTAAAAGTACATTGGACTTGCCCGTAAACGTAAGTTTGATCATTAAAAAATGCAATCATATCAAAACATTTTGAAGAGCAGCTGTGTACGCTAGAAAAATCTGTTAAGAGTTACGATTTTACACATTTAGATATTTTTATATAATTACATATATAGAAGAAGAAAAAAACGGTCCCATAATTAAAATCCTTTCTTGTTGTCTGTACTTGATTCCCTTCAATTCGTGTTTTCTACGTAATATGATCAACATTTGAGCGTAGGAAATACCATGGAATATTTGAAAGGGTTTGTCGTCCTAGCAGACTTTTGAATAATCACTCTCCGGAAAAGGCCAAAAAGACATATCGGCTGTGGTTCCAAGAGTCAATATCTTGTGCGACACCAAGAGACAGCATTATCTATGTAAAATGTGTTATAATATATATTAATTAATATGGTGTTGCTTTCTGTTCTAGGAAACTTCGTGATCGGAATCCCAACCGGATCCTACTGTCCCTCTCCAGTTCCCTGCTCTGTCTCTACATCGTCTTCCTGGTCATGATATCTGTTGACACAGAACGAGATGTGGAAGAAATTCCTACTCTGCCCTGCAGTATTCTAGCTGGCTTCCTCCACTATTTTACCCTGTCATCTCTATTCTGGATGGGCGTCGAGGGCTACAACATGCATATTCTCTTCATTATAGTTTTCAATACGTATCTACCCCGATTTATGAGGAAGGCTTCACTGATTGCATGGGGTAAGCCACCATCCATTAATTATCTGATTTTTTGACTTGATAGAATGGAAGCCTTTTTGCCAAAATGTGTTACCAGCATGATCGCATAGGCTTTCGAAAAAATGTACCTCAGGAACTTTCAATAGCTTTGTCCATCACCTGTCGAAAAGTGTGTACATTACAATGATGTGTTACATACTGAACTGAACAAGATTTCTAAAGGATATACAATTGGATATTGCAACTTTCCTTGAGTGGATTTCTCGAAAGTCTCTGGGATCGTGCTCAGCAAGTAGAGTTTGATTTTCAGACTAATTTAACGAGCTTTCGATATTTATTTTCAATATCTGCAATATGTGTCGAATAAAACAAAGTATTAACACCGGCCACAAGTCTAGTTTATCCTTCGTTGGTTCCTTTATGAATTGATGGTGATGAAGATCATCATCGTCATAATGCTAATGACAATGATGATGATAATAATAACATTAATCATTCGTTTTTGTTCTTGTATTTAGGAGTCCCTTTGGTGATTGTTGGAATCACTGGAGGAGCAGCGAGACAGTACTACGCGCAGACAGATTTGTAAGTTTGATCTTTAATGAAACAAACATTCCCGCTCCTCTTGCTCTCGTTTTAATTTAAGAACAATGACAATGACAATAACAATGACATGACAACAATAACTGGTTTACGTGATAATACAAATTCATTATGATAACATAGAATTGAAATATCTGTTATGCAGCAAACATGTACTTTGAAAGAAGAAAAGTTTTGACCGATTTTTTTGAAAGAGTATAGTGAAAGCGCAATGGGAAGAGAATTCCATACATCTGGGCCAGAGTGGCGAATGGATTTAAGGGCTAGAACAGTTTTTTTTTTATTGCACAAATGGAAAATTGTAGAATGTATTATAGGGTAGGAGTGAATATCTTCATTCAATTGAAACTGAAAAGAAAATGACTCAGGGAGCTGTTTTTTCTGAAGGCGAAGCATGAAAATGGCAGTTTGTGTAATCCCGGCAACCAGCTTTTGAGAAAAACGCGGATCGCTTACTTTTTGTAACAAATCAATAATACTCGTATTGCACTTAATGTTTGCCCATATTAAATTACAATATGATATAAAAGGTTATATGGTATTCTACAGCATTAATAAGATATTCGAAGGAACATTGTGGCGAAGTTTGAAGAGTATGCCTACATTACTTGATATTCTTGCTGCAATATATGTAACGTGATCATTCTATTTCAGAAATGTCATGAAATTTAGTACTTTCGTGTTTTTTTTAAATAACCACATCATCCACCATAATTGTGTTAATTCATTATTCATGGTAGAAATAAGGCAATGGCAGTTGGAATCAGAATAAAACACATTAGTATCATCGGCAAATAGGATTTATTGTAACATGTTAGATGTGTTTGAAATATCATTTACATAAATTAAGAATAATAAAGGACCAAGAATGGATCCTTGCGGGACAAGATTTGACATATTCACACGATATATTGATTTATGTTGTGTAAATAATCATTAAACCACTGGAGAGGTGTGTCAAATGCCTTGCTAAGGTCCATAAAGACATCCAAAACATGATTACGATTGGCAGGGCAATTGACACTCTGTCGTACAACTGTGCTGAAGCAAGATCGGTGGAATGAATTTTCTGAAACCAAACTGATTTTCGTTAAATAAATTATGTTGTTTTAAAGGCACACTTTCCTACTTGTAGCTACTTGCTCCCTCTATATAGAAAACTTCCCCAATCGATGCCCGTTGGTCCCCCATGATCCTCTTGTTCTTATGTTAAATGAGAGCTGAGTTAATGAGATAGCCATCTGTCACAATGACCTCACTGGCTCGCTGGGTGGTCTAATCCCTTCTAGCTGAAGTAGTCTGTTATACTCCAGTCTTTTTTAACATCTTCGAGAAACATCACCTAATAATGGATACTGAACGATACTTTGACACAAAAATTAATGACGGATTATCTTTTTGATATATTGGTATAACGAGCAATTTTAAATGACTTTCCGCTATGAGTACGATAGGCATACTATTTTCTCTTGATACCCTCACTATTACTGCACGCAATTTGTTTAAGCATATGTTAATTGCTATCATTTTAACATGGCTCCAAATATGTGACACGTTGTTATGCATCCCCTCCCGAAAAATCTTCGTAGGTTGTTTGAAGTCTATCCTACACATTTCATGTAATGAATTTTGGAGGATTTAAATGAATATCTTACTTTTTCGTAGTCCGGAGACTGAACTGCGATGGTTACAATATGATGTACATGATACCAAAAAAGTTTCAGCATTGAAATAGTCCGATCAGTGCTATTTAACAATAGTAAGGGTTATAAGAGACATACATTGCAGTTTCATCTATATTAATTGTTATGTTTTACGTTATATTGTTATATTTAATAGTAGGCAGATTTTTTTTTTGCAATGGTCATTGTTGTATAGCATTAATGCTAAATATAATGAGGTCAAGTAAATCTGATAGAATAACGGATTATTACACTTGTTAGAACGAATATCATGAAGAATATTGGTTTCCGGTTCAAAGGAAATAAATTGGAAAATATCTTCATACTGCAATTCGAATATTTGATATGCATTCATCATTAATATAATAAATAATTTATTTTATCATGAATTCAAATATGAATATGCATTTGTCGTCGTTGTTGTTTTTGTAGTTGCTTCCTTCGATACTGGCCTCTCATTGGTGGTCTCCTGATTCCAGTTGGTTTCATCATGATCTTCAACATCATCATCTTTATTTGTGTCATTCGACGACTGAACAAAACCGTCAAAGGAAGACAACTTCATAAGACGGAGAAACGCCAGCGCCTTCGACGTTTCCAGAATGCGGTGTGTATCCTGATCCTGATGGGCTTAACGTGGTCTCTGGGTTACCTGAGTATCATCCGACCGGCCAGTGAGGTTGTCCAAGGAATCTTCACCATCCTCAACTCTCTGCAGGGGTACTTCATCTTCATGTTGTACTGTGTGCGCCAGCCTCAGGTTCGCAGGATATGGCGCTCACAGTTCAGCTGCTGCTTGTCGAAGTCTGTTGCGGCGTCTGGCGGCTTCACTTCAAGCTCTGGACAAACTAATTCTACGAACAGGAACAGCTCGGCCAAGCTCAGGGGACAGAGAGGCAACCAAAATGCAGGGCTGATGTCTAACTTCGATTCCAGTGGGTTCCAACAGGATACAATAATGCGTACCCCACCTGAGAGACTGCCTAGAGCTGCTTACCAAAACGATGGTGCCGAGTGGTGATTTGATACATTTAATGAAGCTTGATGAATGTTTAAAAGATAGATTGTGTTTTGTTCATAACTACACAGAAATAATGTCGGTGATTTAAAGACACAAGTAGTAATGATTTGAAAACAGTAACCCATGCAGTCTTTCAACTAACAAAACAATTGTGTTTTTCAACTAGCATCATGCAATGTATTTCAACATGTTAATAACTGTATACATAAAAGGTCAATGGGGATATTAGAAGGGAATACCAGTTGACCATATTTGCAGAGTAAATTCAGCATCTAGCAATGAATGTTAAATTGATATTGATGGAGCGGAGTCGGTGATTATCAACTTTCTTGTTTATTTATACATCACATAATAAATGTAGTCATCAAAAAATTCCCTATTTCATCTATATTTCCAATATACCTATTTCGACATAAACGTAAAGGTGTCATTACGTGGGTTGTAGCATAGGTTGTGATAATGAATTTATATTTGAGTGTAATATGCCAAAAGCAATTCCGCTTTGTTTATCATGCCGTACATGGATTTTTTTGAACAGCATGTTACACAAACATTTTGACTCGAATTCAAAAAGGAGGTTTTTCGACAAACCTAGGTTTATGTGCGTCATATGATGCGTTTCGACGCGTTTCAAACAAAGTGGTTTGAAACGCGTCGAAACGCGTCATATGACGCACACAAACCTCCTTTGTGAATCGGGCCTGTAAGATTGACCTACACTAAATAGCACGACACGCATAGAACATGTATTCTATTGCTTGACATGTGGTACAGACTATAATTTTGATTTCCTTATCTTTTTGAGTTAATTACTCGCCCTTTTTATTAGTTTTTAGATGAGGTCTTGAACATTCAGCGTGAAATCGGTTTTATAAAGTGACAATACGTTGTATATTTTCCATCCTTTCAAGAATTCCGGTTGGTGAAATCCTGTAATAAATTTCAGTTAATATATGTTTTCTCCCACGAAATATACACATGAAAATAGACGGCGAGTCCTAGCTGTAATTTGTGATCGCCTTTAGAACTTCGTGAAAATTTGCAAAAAGATCTTTGATTGATTTGTAAAGATTGGTTAAAACATCACAGAAAATCTGAGACATTTTTTGTTTATCTTCACTGGAAAGATGACTGAATGCTACAATCACTTGGGAATCGCAGACAAAAAGTGCTGTATGGTTTACGCGCTCGCACAAAGTAGGTTTTAACACGATAATTAGTTTGGGTGATATGGTAAACTGTCTACACAACCTACATAAGCCCCATTCTCGAATATGCTTCCCCTGTTTGATACACTTCTATTACTATCAATGAGACTAATGAATTGGAATTTGTTAAAAAGCTGGCACTCAAAATAATTGTAGGATATAATGTTGATTATACAAATGCCCGTGCCATAACCAATCTACTTCCCTATCTTCGAGAAGGGATTCACTTTTGGTACGTTTTGGAGAAAAGCTCAGGAACTCCGATCACCACAAACGCCTTTTGCCCATTCCCAAGTCCACCTCAAGCATGACACAGTTGCACAACATGACTGCTTTTCCGACGATTATAATGTAATACTGAAAGGTATTGTATATCAACCATCCCTGACCTTGCCAGAATCTTCAAATAACTCTTATTCCCCCTACACTTTCTTGCAGATTTTAATCTTAATTTTTAGTCAATAAATCACTGTTTCAGCCTGCATGCCTTGATCCTATGGTCTGTTTATATGGTTTTCTTTGTATTTCAGTTATTGTTATATTCACTTGTAGTTTTTTTTTCCCCTCTCTCCCTCTCTCTCTCTTTCTCTCGTCAAACTTCTCCCCTTCTTTCTCCTTTTTTAAACTTACATTTTCTCTCTTCTTGCCTGTACTTGTATGATGATTATTGTTGTATCGCCGAATTTTGACTTTTCTTAATTTGCATAAATGTATTAATGTAATACATTCATAACATGTATGTATATAGGTTGTTTATTCAGGAAATGAGTAGTTTTGTTAATTAGGAATAATATGATTATTTACTTATGTTCATTTTATTCCCTGCTTTCTCTCTCTCCCTCTCTCTCTCTCTTCCTTTCTTTTCCCTTTTCTCTCATCCTCTCTCTTTCTACCCCATCCGCTCTATCACTCTCCCTTTCGTGAGCTATATCTTCCCCTGCTCTTGTATATCTCCTGCTAGTACATAATAAATATAAACGAGCGCAATACGATTATTTGGTATTGTCATTATGTTACTGATTTATTTACTATATGCCTTGTCATACTATTGTAAATGTATTTAATTATATACATCATCGTATTTTTTGTAAAGTTTTCGTCAATCTTTTTTTCCCACATATTTCGCATATATAGTCGGACGTAGAGAGGGATATGGACATTGGAAAAAAAAAAGGAAAAAAAAGAAGCCATTTTTGGTTTTAGTTTCTAAACGACGTAAATTTAACATTGGTCGACTTAACCTTCAATATTCATCGACTAAAGTTTAGCTAGGACAATCAAATATTACACTAATGGAGAGTTGGGAACTGTAAACACGTTTTCTGCTGCTATACATTTTGATCATGTGTACAGATCAAATATATTGCTACTTAATAGGAGGTAAACTAAACATGCGTCTATTGAGAATGTGAGTGTATTTGAGAAAGATTATTTTATTAAGATTAAGAAGCATATGTACTGTGCAATATGTAAACAGTCTTTTAGTAAATAATGTTTAAAAAGTGTTTAACGTGTGTTTGTAATATGAGGAATTTATGAAATAATAAGATTTATGTTAATTAAGATAAATATTCATTGAAAGTAGATGCTCAAAGCGATGTCTTCTTTTGTTTCCTCATTTTATGTTAGTAATGCAGCTGAATTCACGTCTTTTATCACTGAGCGAGGATTATTTCCAATAATTGTTGTTGAAATCTTTTAGCGTAGACCTAATTGTATTAATTACCAAAACAATATACATACAATGATATTTAGAAATTCCTTCTTATTCGTAGCTCATTTATCTGTTCATCATTTTATTTATCATTTCGTTGTATTTTATGAAATGGAGTACCTTTATAATCTACGTGTATAAGCAAGTTGGTGGTGCGTTGTAGGTTTAGGTTTATGTTTACAGTTTATTAAATTATTTGTTATTCCTTTAAACATATTTGATAATGATAAAAATAAAGATAAGCATAAGAAGAAGAATGACAATGATAATAGTGATAATAATAATTACAACGATAACAATAATAAAAGACCGTGGCAGTTTTATATCTAAACGAGCATTTTTACCCGCACTAATCAAATCAATGGAGGCAATTTGCCCATACCCCGGTAATTCAACGCAATGAGTTCAACGTTTTATTTTATAATCCTTTCGTTATGCATAAACCTGTAATGACGTAGTCCTACGTCATCAAATTACGACTCGTGTGTAACATTAAGAAACATGACGTGTTCAAGACTTTGTGCAATTACTGGAGGGGGAATGGGGGGTTACATGTCGTGGGGGAATAAGAGAGTGGAATTGATAGTCTTGTTTTTTCCTCGGATCGGGAAATGGTAGACTGATTTTAGATGATAATAATGATAATGATGGTAATGATAACGAGATGATGATAATGATAATAATAATAATAATGATAATAATAACTTAAATATAACATTTTAGGGACCCTTTCATGGGGCAAGACAGATTATTGTATAGAAAAACATGTCATTATTATTATTATAATATCTATCCAAGATGAAATGGTGTACATGGACTCGTTCATACTCAGGTTATTGAATTTCGGGGCTATTTTTCATGAGCATGGTATGATGGTACACAACATATGATACTGACGTCGTTTCATTTACGTAAGTTCGATATTCAAGATTATAAAAGGCAGATCAATATATCCAAGAAATCGTCCTTGTTTTCACGAAGTGACGGTAGTGAGGAAAATCGTAACGCAAAGTGAATGCAATTTTTTTTCACTACCGTCACTTCGTGAAAACAGCGACGAAATTGTAGTAATATTTTTTGAATTGTAATGCCAGCTATAGGCATAATGTGTTGCTTTATGCATGTACACTTAACGGTCAAATCGTCAGAACTAAAAATGACAAGAAGTAAAACTGGAGACATTTCATTTGTGCCCTTACTGTTTTCATTTGTATTAATATTATATTTCTTATATAGTCCTGTTTTTGCTCTTCTTGTATCAAAAGCAAGAAATCTTGAATTACTTCGCATATCCTTTCGTCTTTTATATGAATAAAGCTGATGTTATGCTAGGAGTCCACTGGGCCGGCGCCAGTTGGTGCCAGTTTGCGCCAAAGATTATGTGATTGGCGCGTAGTGGCTCGCTGTGGCGCCGAATTAATGTCCGCTCGCCATGTGTCGCCAAGTGGAATAAACTGGGTGGCATATGGCGTGCGCCAAATGCCACCCGGCTTGCTCCAAAATGTTGCGCCAGTTTGCGCCAATTCGCGCCATTACACGGCCATTTGATTCCAAAATTCACCCTGTTGGCGCCATTCGCGCCAATAGACGGCTACTTTGCGCCACTTGGTGATTAGTTTGTGCCAAAGGTCGCCAAATTGGTTTTAACTTGCCGCCGCTTGGCGCTACTTGCCGACTATATAAATACCGGCCATCGGCTACCTGGTTCAGACCCTCCTCAGCTGCTGTATGAACAACATCTCTACTAAATATTTACAATTTTGATATGTCTGAGGCTTTTGATAATGTTGGAGTGATGATGCTGCTCAATCAGAAGATGATGAGAGATGCTGAGGTGGCCATGCTCCACCCACAGTTGAGGGCCGAACGTGGACAGTACCACACTTTGATGGAAGAGTTGAGGGAGAATGACAGGAGGAAGTTCAAGAACTACACCAGGGTGTCCCCAGAGATGTTTGATGACCTGTTGGTCAGGCTTACACCCCACTTGCAGAAGAAGGACACTCACTTCAGGAAGGCCATTCCCCCTGTTCTCAAGTTGTTCGTCTTCCTGCGCCATCTCACCACTGGGGCCACCTATGCCGAGCTGTCTTACAACTTCCGAGTGGGCAAGGAAACCATCCAGAAGTTTGTTCCTGATGTAGCCAGAGCGATAGTGGATGAGTATGCTGCAGAAGTCATCTCCCTCCCCACAACCAATGAAGGCTGGCTTGAGGTTGCAGGTGATTTTGAAGCCAGATGGAATCTTCCTCACTGTTTGGGAGCCTATGATGGAAAGCACATCCATCTCCAGAAGCCCAACAAATCAGGCAGGCTTTACTTCAACTACAAGCAGTTCTTCTCGGTTGTCCTGATGGCTCTGGTAGATTCAAAGTACCAGTTCATGTGGATCGATGTGGGTGGGGTTGGCCATCAGTCTGATGCCCAGATCTACAACAACAGTGAACTGAAGGAGTGCATTGAAGCTGGCACTTTAGGCATCCCAGATCCAGCTCCTCTTCCCCA